AGAAAGTTTTTTTTTTCCTTTGCAAGTGGAATTTGGAGTAGTGCTGTACAAAGAAAGGGAGGGGAGGGGAAGGGGAAAGATGAACGGGAAGGGAAGGAGAGGAAGGGAGGGTAGGGGGAAAGGGAAGGGAAAGGGAAAGGGAAAGGGGAAGGGAAGGGAAGGGAAGGGAAGGGAAGGGAAGGGAAGGGAAGGGAAGGGAAGGGAAGGGAAGGGAAGGGAAGGGAAGAAATGGTCAGGCTCATCTTGGATAATTGTGGTGCCCTTGTAGTTAATAACAAAAGCTAATACAACTAAATTAGGTATGTCTGTCTCTCGCTGCTGATACAGTCAACCGAGGAAAGCTGATTGCTCCAAAGTAATTTGGAACAGTCAGCTGAGTGCAGTAGCTGAGGTTTTAGGAGCAATTGTACTGATATCACCGAGATCTGGGGCTCTGTGTTTGTGTGAAAGGAAGAAAATAGTTTCATAAGTGTTGGACACCTTCAAAAGAGGGGAAGTCATATCCCTGCCTGGAGTAATTAGCACCTGGTGAAGCTAACAAGGAGCCTGGGGAAGGTGCACAGCCAGCAGGGATGTGTGCCTGGCGTGGAGGGGCTGAGCCCTGCAACATGGCCCAGCACCCCCAGGACATGTGCATTGCAGGATGGGCTTTGTCAGCTTGCTTTTGTTGTGTGCTGTTTGTTTGTTTTGTTTTGCTTTAATTAAATGTCTGGTCCTTCTGGTTGCCAAGGCGCGCTTCAAAACACTCCGATGGAGCGCTGGTTTTATTGACTCTCCAGCAAGTTATTGAAGCGTGGTAGGAAATGCTTCACACTTTCAACCTCAAGGTTTTTTGGAGAGCCTTTTTTTTTTTTTTTTTTTTTTTTTGCAAGTGTTTATTATAGCCTTACCACGAGAAATGTGCTATCAGGAAAACTGATAGTAAGCAGCTCCTCGGCAGTGTGTGACAGGTAGCTCTGCTGAGAGCTGTCTCTGGTGTCACCCAAGTACGGAGGAGTTCTCCCAGTTTAGGACCTAGCCTGGATGACAGCTTGTCTTCAAGCCTCCCACCACTGTTAGAACGACTGAAAAATGCCCGTGGGTACGCCGGGCTGATTGCAGAAACGCATCTCTTTACATAAAATAATAAATCTGCTCCATAGCCACACGTCGTGCGCCACGTTAGGAAATGCAGCACTTGAAGTTCAAAACTGCAAAGTCAGAGAATCATAGAACCACCAAGGTTGGAAAAGACCTCCAAGACCATCCAGTCCAACCGTATCACCAGTATTTCCCACAAGCCCACGTCCCTCTGTACAACATCTACACGTTGCTTGACCGCAAGTCCATAAAGTCAAAGCTGCCACTGCTTTTGGGGCTGCCCTGTGGCCTCCCAGCACCAAGCATGCCTTCCCAGTGCAGCTCAGCTCTACCACTGTGAGGCTGTCCCTGCTGTGGGGCTGGCTTGGGATGCAAGTGATCACTTATTGCACATTTGTTGTAGTTTGGGTGTTTAACAGCGCGGCTCTGTATAAAAACAGCTGAGACTGTGCTATGATGCAGCTCGACTGGAATGGTCTGTGAGTGTCTGAAGTGCTACAAGCACTAAAAATAACTGCAAGCATCTGAAGTTGGCCACCCGACAGTGGCAAGCACCTTTAATTCGCATTGCTTGTTGCCTTGGTTCCTCAGCTTGAGCAGGAAGAAGAGAAAACACAGGGCTGTGGGCAGAGCTGGGAAACAAAGCGATGTGGGTGAGGCTTCGGGGTCTGCAGTTGTAGCTCCAGAGCAGGGAAGCCCCCAGAGGAACAGCATGGCTGCTTTAGCAGAGGGAAAGGAGATGTGAGCGGAAAGAGGAAAGGAGCAGAAAGGGTGGGAGTGGGTCTGAGAGCACATGGGGTCCTGAGAGAGTTTTGCATGGGGGAATGAAGTCCCCTGGCTCAGGTGGAACTTCAGCTACTGGTCTGGGTAAATCTGTCCTTAGGTGAGATGTCCCATGCGCAGGGAGGAAGGCAGAAGGAATGAGAGATTTAAGGGAAAAGGGCAAAGCTTGGATGATAGCAGAGCACAAGCTTAGTTCCGACTGCCATCCTTTTCTTCCTTGTTTTTCTCAGCTATGGTTAACCCTGTAAGACGCTGAAGCCTTTAACCATTAGCAGGCACTAAAAAGGGGCAGCTAAGTTGAATAACACCCACTAATCCCCTTCCAGAATGAGATGGAGAGAAGAGCCACTGTGATGCTCAGGAGCTTATTCAGAGTTGAGTACTTTGGAGGCTTTGAGAATTGCATGGTGTTGATATTTCATGAATAAATAACCCACAGCAATATTTGTCGCTGAATCTGCTTCATTAATGAGGTCCTGGAACAAAGGGGAAGGACGGAGGGCTGTGACGGGATTGAAGACAAAAGCTTTTCCGAGTGATTCAATATGCAGGTGATGGGAAGTGGCACGGGGTGGGTGCAGGAGCTGTGTGGTGATGGAGAGCGGGGCTGCTGAGCATCACGTGGACCACTTACTGTGAAATAAGTTGTCAAAAGAGTAGGCTTTACCAAGGCATGGCGTATGATCAGAGGGTTGTGATGGAGAGGAGAGTGTGTTTGACTGGTGTGTGTTGTTTGGGAGGGCTGGGGAGTTGGAGCAGGAATGCGCGTGGCTCAGAAATGTGCTTGTGGGGAGAAGCTGGCATCAGGAATGGGCTCACTCACTCCTAAGCACCCTTTTCTAGAGGACTTGATGTCCCCTTCAGGCTGGTGGGGAGCAGCCCCGTCCTCTTCCCAGCAGGCCTCCAGCTCAGGGGATGCAAGGTCCCTGTTTTCCCTTATAGGAAGCTGCAGCATCCAGGTGGGAACCCCAGGAGCACCAAAGACAGGGCTGGGGGAGATAGAGGAGCATGGGGACATTGCAACATGTACCTCCATCTGTGTTTCCCTGCCTCCTTGGGCAGCTAATACGTGAAGATGTGTAATGACTCGTTCAGGCTCACCTATGGGATCTGCTGTGCCAGGCCCCATGTCAGAGAGCAGATCCCCACTGCCCCAGGGCACGAGCAGCCATTGGTTTGGGCTTCCAGTTTGGTACCTCATCGATGTGGGCTGAGCATCTGGCCCCAGATGGGGCTGAGCTTTCCAGGTGGGTGGAGGGAGAGTTGTCACGGTTGTTGTATTTTTATTTAAAAGAGAAAATATCTATCTATGTTTACAAGCAGCACTTTTGGTTAATGAATAATATGGCCTTTCTGTTCCCTCTTTCCTCTGCCGATATACGCACCCTGATCTAATATATTCTGCCTTTCTCACTGCCTCACTTTGGAGGAGCTGCAAATTCTAGTGGGAACAGAGTGCTAATAGAAAAGGGCCTCTAAAGACATTTGAAACATGACCAAGAAAGTACAGAGGGAGATTGAGCTCCAAATATGCTGCAAAATCTAGGAGATGGGCCAAGAGAGGGGGAATATAGGAAACATGATCATTGAGAGGGAAAAGTTAATTGGGAAACATTAATTGGGGTGAAAATGGGCAGCACAGGCAGTGAGTCCCAGCTTCTAGAATCCAAGGAAATACGAAATCTGAACATCTGACCTGAAAACAGTGTAGGGCTTCATTATGTTGGGTTTGTCGTTGGATAATTTCGAGCCTTCGTGTTTTCAGGAGGAAACTTGGTTACACCCTAAAGGCTCAGAAAGCAGAAGGCAAAGTAAGAAAAGAGCCCTCCTGATGACTGATTTATTTTTAAAACCTCATCATTTTCCTGCCAATCTCATTACCATTTTTTTTTCAATGCCTGACTCATGGTTTTTTGAAGGCTTGTTGGTGGGGCTGCGTGCGTGAGTGTGACGGCGCAAGTCCCTCCTCCACCAGGAGCGTGGTGCTGATCCTCAGGACTGCTGAATATTCTTCCTCTGCTGTTTTCTTGCCAAGTTTTTGCATTAAAACCCCAAATCCAGAGAGGGGCGGTGGGCACTGAGTCATTGCATGGGTTTCAGGTGCCGCTGGGGGATGCTGCAGGGGAAGCTCAGAGCGCTGTGTGGCTGCCAGCACTGCCTCGTGGGTGCTTTAAGGCCACGAGGGTCAATGTTTATTTGCAGCCTTCAGTGTATAACGATCTCATAAATACCCTGCGGAGGTCAAGTCTGTCTCCATCGCTGCCTTGTCCTGTGACCTTGGGTAAATGCTTTGTCTCCTGTGTGTCTGCACTGCTGGTGAGAGTGGGACCGGATCTGGAGCCCACGGTGCGTTGCAGCAATCTGTTAACGTACACAACGTGCTTTGAAGATGAAAAATACCTTGGAGATGCTCAAAGCTCTCAATAAGCATCCGCATTCCCTTTGCCGGAACCCAGCAGAAAGAAGTGCTGGAGTGCTTTGTCACAGACAAAATCTGCTGTGTGTGCAGGGCGGAGAGGCAGGGCTGGGAGCTCCTCAAGTCTTTAAGCGGTCACTGAATTCGTTGGTGTTTGTGCTTCGTGCTTAAGGAAGAGCACAGCCGTGCCTGGGGTGTGCAGCATGGAGCTGCAGCCCACAGCCCTGGGACAGAGCCCGGGTCCCTGGCCCCACTGGCACAGGTGTCCCCAGCCACATCCCAGGAAACACTAAGCTGAGTTTGTGTGGCTTTAATTCCTATGGGGCATCCCCATGTGCTGGGTGAGGCGCGGGGCTTGGGAGGCTTGGCTCAGGAGTAGCACAGCCAGGAGTTTCGCTGTTGTGGATTTACTGTTGGTTAGTATGGGGTTGGATTCACACCTGTGATGCTAATAAAGCCTCTTGTTTGCATGAAAATGGTGTAGGTGCTTTGCATACGCAGAACAGGTTGGTTTTGGTCAAGGATGTCAAAGTTACACAGTAAAGGATGTAAATACACAGCAAGAGCATAAACTCCTCACTGTCTTGACAAACTTCTTCTAGGTGGGTTTCCATCACAACGCCATGATTTCACCTATGTGGATGATATATGGCAGTGCCACGCTGCGTGCTGCCGCTCCCTGCCCCTCCTGCTGCCTCTAACGGTGCCTTTTCTCTCCAAGGGAAGAAGCAATGCTGTCCACCTACTTTGAAACCATCAATGATTTGCTCTCCTCTTTCGGGCCGGTCCGGGATTGCTCCCGCAACAACGGCGGCTGCACCCGCAACTTCAAGTGCGTTTCGGATCGCCAGGTGGATTCAACGGGCTGCGTGGTACGTACAGCTGGGCTGGGCTGGGGGCACGCACTGCTTGCTGTCTGCAGCAATGCCCAGAGGGTGGACGTGTGCTGCCCCATCTCCTCTTGGCAGTGAATCCCAGGTGGGAAGTTTGCCTTAGGGACTTTGGGGACAGGGATTTGGGGATTGGGTTTGGCAGAGCCGAAGGGATAAGGCGGAATTTGTGCCTGCTGGGGAGGTGTGTGTGGGGCTGCCTGTTATGCCTGTAGCAGAAGGAACATCACCTGCTGTCCCAGCCCTGGTTCTGCAGGCTCAGCCCGTCCCCCCGCCGAGGCAGGAGTTAAGTGTCTCTTTATTTATTGAAGATGTTTATACACGGCAGCAGCCTGGAAAGGTCAGACTGGAGTGGTGCCGTCTCCGGGGCGGCATTTTCATTATCCCCTTCTCCAATTGCTTGTTAAGGCCATTTAGCACGACAGCCTGATGTGTCACCGGCAGCACCCGGCCCCGCAGCGCCCGCTGTCTCCTCCTTCCTATTCCTCTCCCTTTTCTGCTTTCTTTTCCCATCGTTGTTTTCTTTTGTTCTCGCCCTTACTCCTCACCAGGGAGGGGCTCGGTTTCTGGCGTATCTTTTTATTTTTTCTTTTTCCCCCTTTTTATTTTTCCACCGTCATTTTGCTCTGCAAACTAATGTGCCTCGCAGACACTGTCAGAAACAATCGGGGCTCTGATTGCCCTGTGCCTCTGGGAAGAGACGCCTCTTTTTAAAAGTCAGGATATATTAAGATAGAAATTGTCAATAAATTACAGGCCCAGCGCTCACCACGGCGGCACATGGAGAGGCAGAAATTGAAAACCACGTCACTCAGGGAAAATAGCCCCCCTGGCTTTTGTAATGGTTCAGTGGGGCTGGTTTTAAAGGGAACAAAACACATCCAGCAGGAAGGAGGGGAAATCACCTCAAGGTCCATCCTGCTCCCCAGGAGCCCAGGAATTGCAGCACTGCGAGGAAACGTGGCCATTTCTTGGGGGAAAATAAAGCATAAAGCAATGTTTCCTCCATCCAGGCTCCCCGTGGGCTGTGTATGGTACGAGATGAGGTTACAGGTGATGGGAGCTGGGTTGGTAACCCAGCTGCACCCTCGTGTCCCCTTGGCCACAGTCACTTGGTGACAGCATCTCTCCCGGTGCTGGTTTGGATGGGCTCATTTGCTGTACATTTGCAGGAATGTCAGTTAGTTTTAAAGCTGAACTGCCGTGAACTCAATTTGCCAATTTGGTGAGTGCTATGGGCAATATCGGGATGTAATTTAATTAAACTATCCCCTTTTTATAGAGTTCAGGGAGCACTCGCCTGCTAATTTTAGCACTAGGTTTTCTTCAGCTTTACTCTGGACACTGTTTCTCAAATCATGACATGTTGTTAATCTTTACCAGTCAACAGTTTATTAATTTGCTGAGGACCACAGAAGTATATAATCAGTGGTTCATCAATCAAGGCTAAATCCAACAAATGTTCCAGGCAGGTACCGAGCATAAAATATACATGTGGGCTTGTAAGCAATTAATACACAGCAGAGCTGAAGCCTCACAGCTCAACCAGGGAACAGCACAAATCTCAAAGATTTCTTACTCCTTTTATTTATAATCATCATCTGTTACCAGATCCTTTGTGCCCTTAGCACAGCTTCCAGTAATTCTGCAAGGATGGAGAATGCATTTATCTTGGGGCTTTTAGCAGCACGCTCCCTGCCACTACCAATTGCTTGGCCTTTAGAGGACATGGGTAACTGTCGGGGCAGTTGCCTGCAGGTGTTGGTTGAGGCTCTTTGGGTTTCTGAGTGAGACCCAAGCACATTGTTCCATTGAAGCCCCAGTGCATGGACCCAAGGTTCTGAGCCCACTTCCCACAGGGCTCGTTTCACCTTTCTTGTTTTGTTTTGTTTTTTTTTTTTTTTCTGTTATTTTTCCTTGTACCCAGTAGGTGGCATTCGTGCATAATGCTTTTCTGCAGTTCTTTACTTATCGGAGGCTTTTTATTGCTTGGTTAATTATAAGAAGCATGGGTTGCCATGCCACCTTGCTATGACCTTTGTTTGGAACTGTTAACTGGTGCCTTGGCTCTGAGCCCTATCTTGCAAAATAGCAGAGCAACCCCCAAACTCTGTGTCTGTTTACATCCCACTTCTTGCTGTACCCAGAGCTGCTGTCAGTCAGGGGAAGCCACAAGCACTTCCCAAAACCCCAGTGAGCATCTCTAGACCCAGTGGGTCTTGAGTGCAGCTGCGCAAGCTTCCAGGATCACAGCAAACCAGGAGGAACCGTAGGGGAGGAACAAGACAGGTTATTTATTGCTGATAGAGAAATGTGTATCACTGAGCCCTCCTTCTAGCACGTGGGTAGCTGCTCAGCCAGGAGGGAAAGGATGCAGGAGGAGGGAAAGGGCTTGACCCCTTGCATGTTGCTCGTTCATAATTTAAGTTGAAAAGCTGTGAATTGGACCTGAGGGAACGAAGGGGACACCTGCAATGTGGCTAAAACTCAGGTTTCCCCACCTGTCACTTGGCTGAGGTTTGCTCACAGATGCCAATGCTCCCATCACTCATCTCTGCCACCCCAGCAAGGTGACCATGTTGATGTGCATGGTTCCTGCACCATGCCTCATCAAGCATCATTTCAGGCTGAAGTCCTGCTACCAGAAAGGTGTTTCTAATATAAGCAGTTTGGCTACAAGCACAATATAAACTACTCTTCTTCATGGTCATGGGGTCAACCCATCAGCTAGGAGAACATTTGGCTCTACAGTGTGCAGAGGGGAGATGGTTTTTTAATTGCATTGTGGCCCACACTGTTACACCTGTGCTGTGCTTGTCCTGGCCTTTTCAGACACAGAAAGAAGAGAATTTGGCATGGTCCACACAGGCATATAAGCCTGAGCTCAGCCTGTCTGGATCTTATCCTCCTCTTTTGCTCCCTTCCACATCAAAACGAAAGGCTGCTCCTCAGCCGCTGCAAAGCACTGCAGAGAAATGGTTTAATTTAAGAGGGTAACCAATTCACAGAGAAGTGGGATTAGAAGTGAGAGAAGACCAGTGGCCTCTCTGGTCTCCTGCTGCCAGCCCAAGTCATCCTGGGGTTTCCTGAGCCCAAAGAGGGCATGGGAGCATTTGGAAATGAAGTGAGTAGGGTTGAGAACTGATGTTCCTTGGGAACTCTGGGTGTTGGGAGTTCCAGCTCCAAAAAACTGTGCAGAAATGCCCCACAGCTGCAAATTCCAGACTGTGTTGGTTCAAAACATCTCTGTCCTATGCAGGAGGGGGAAATGTTTCATTCCAGCATTATCATCTGGAGTTTTATGTCATACATTATATTATCCCAGTGTTCAACCTGAAATAAAAACAAAATAAAGCAGTGGAAACCAAAACATTTCAACCTTGTCAAAATTAAACGCTTTCCTAATTTCCCAGTGAATTTTGAGATGTAATTGATGGAATCCCATAAAGCACTTAAGCTTCATCAAATCTGCATTTTCTGACAGACAATTGTTCATTGAAAAATAAAAACTCATCCGTCCCTGCCTTAAGAGGCACCTAGCTAATTATGTGGAGATGCACAACACGCAGGGGAGGGAGATGAGGAGGAAACCATTCTCTTCTAATCCCCTTTAAGTTTAGCTGGCTCCTTGAAGCAGAAGATTACTACTTATGCATATTATGGGTGGGAGCAGAAACCCCTGGTGGTTCTGAGATGGAGGCACTGAGGTGAGCTGGAGGTCTCGGTGCTGAAAGGAGGTGACTGAGATGGTGAAATCCCATCTTTTGTGTCAGCTTTTGCAATGGCATTCTGTAGAGGTCACCAGTTGGCATCTCTTCCTTCTGCAACACAGCAGACTGGGTTGCTGTGTGCTCTGGTCATATCACACTTGGTTTGGGTCCTTGGCTTTGTCTTGGATCCTGGGCTTTGGTTTGGATCCTGGGTTTTGGTTTGGGTCCTTGCCTTTGGCTTCAGTCCTTGATTTTGGCATGTAGCTTTGTGCTTAGGCTGTTTCCTGAGGTCAGATGAATCTGTAGTTAAATTTCTGGTCTCCCAAAGGGTTCTGGTGGTGCCAGGCTCCCCTGTGTCATGGGCAGCAAGTGCCCCAGTGGGCAGGAGCTGATAGTGTGCTCCAAAATGTGCTGGCAAGGCATCCTGGGGACACGCTGAGGATGTGAGCTACCACTGCACGTGCTTTGGAACCTGCAAAACAGATGGGTTTGATTTTCTGAAGCTAAAATAATGACTGACGATCTTGAGATGGAAAACGAAGCAAGGAGAAAAGAGTAGGAAGATAATGACTGTTATTTCAGCAAACGGTTGTAATGTTGCCCCTTGGGAAGGATGTTCCCTGCAGCGGGGCTCTGGGGGGGGTGAGGACATTGCTGCCCAAGGAGGTGATGGATGGAAGGATGGCCCTGGAGAGAAAGGGGCACACAGAGCCCCACAGGGCCTTCAGATTCAGAGAGGCAGAAGCAGTGCAAGCCAAAGCTGTCTAAATATATATATGGACACAAAGGAATTTAATGTGTTTGTATCATTTCTGAGCTCCAACAAGCAAATAAAATACATGCCAGCGCATAGTTCAGAGCTCATTAAAACACTGGCACTTGCTGGTGCCTCAGCAGTACCTTGGATTAATGGTTTTGTTTCCCACTGGAGAGGTTCTTCAGTGCTGAGGAAGAATGTGTCTAACGAAGGTGAGTTCATTAGTGCTGTTGGACTCTTTCACACCCAGTGCTGGAGCCCCATGCTGCTCTGGGGAGGTAGGAGGGAAAGCTGTGACCTCAGGATAATGGTTTGGTGCACTGCCTGGCTGTCTGTCCATCCAGTATAGAGGATCTGTTCCATTGGTGCTCTGACTATCTGAGCATGTTGTGGTTGCGTTTGGCACTGCAAATTAAACTCCCAGTGACCCCACCCCCCCCCTGGGTGCAGGACTGGGTCCTCACCTCTGTGCCATGGGTGCGGGGTCCCCAGCTCGTGCCAAGTCAGGCAGAAGCAGGAGGCTGTGTGGGAGAAGTGCCTGACAAAAAGGTTGCTAATATTGAGAAAACAGAGCAGAATAATAAAAAGCACGCTTTACTCTCTACCAAAACACTTTATTAAATATTCTTTTTTCTAAATAACAGCGAAGAGGAGCGGAGCTGTGAGCAGGCAGTGCTGGGCAGAGCTGGCTCCTCTCGGGAGGAATCGCGTCGGTAATGAGACACACGTTTTGTTTCCAGTGACCCCATCGCCTGTCTCACTGCTAATGATCTTTGTAAAAGAGAAAGAAAAGGGCCTTTGCTCACTAACACAAACAATCCAGATAGATGTTTTCCTAAGCAACAGTCTTGTACGGATTGCAGCGGATGCTGGCTGCCTTTATGCTTGGAAGAGGCTGCCTCGCAGTGTGTCTGCCCTGGCTTGGCTGAGGATGGGGGCTCTGGTTGGCAGGAGGTGGCTCTGTGGTGTCACACAGTGGTGTTCTGTCACACAGTGATGTCCTGATGGGGTGACGGTGTGGGTCAGGGGGATCCCCTTTGGTTTGGGCCAGCAGTACAGCAGGTTGGGGTCTCCAAAAACACACATTTCTGCACCCGCTGCCGCTCCACGGCACCCTGGTGACATCATTTCAGAGGGAACAAAGCACACTGCTCTGAAAACCAGGTAAAAATAGCGTGTTCTTATTCAGCATCTGTGCTACCTGTGTATGCTTGGAGTCTGTTTTGCTGACAGCAGTGACAAAGAGCAGGACCTCAGGCTCTGCCTGGTGCGAACAAGGACAATGGGCTGATGTCCATCCATGCCATCAGCAGAGCACACACCAAGCTGACCTCGGCTCTGCCTTCCCAAATTCACTGGCAGGAGCTGGGCTGTGGCTTTGTGGCTTTGTCACATTCTGTCTGAAGGATCTTTGTTATCTGTTTGAGAATGCACAAGGAAACAAGAAGCTCGGCTTTCTTTCCAGTCCCAGGAGCAATTTTGAGAGTGAACCATCATCACAGAGAAACCAGCGCATTCATGCATGTGTATCTCAAAGGTCTTTTCTGATCTCAATGGCTCTATGATTCCTGCAGTGACCCACGTGGATCTGAAGGACACTGGAATTACATTGACACAGTGATGTCTTTGTGGCTTTCCAAAGGAATGGCAAGCTGGAGTTTCTCCCCACCTCCTCTTTCCTCTCTATAGCCAGCACCAAGCACCACTGCAAGGTTTCTGCTGCTCATATCCCCATGAAACATGGGCTGACAGGCTGGAATGAGACCCCTTGGTTCCATCATAATCACAGAATCATTTGAGTTGGAAGAGGACTTAAAAAGCCATTTGGTCCAACTCCCTGCAATGAACAGGGACACAGCTAGATCAGGGTGCTCAGCACCTGTGTCATGAGCCATGCTGATGTAACAAGGGAATCCCTGGAGCTGGTGGGTGCTGGGATCCCTTTGACTGCCTGGATCCAACAGAAAATTCAATTTCCATGCTGGCTTCCCCAATGGAACGGGGTGGGACGTGTCATCTCTGAGCGCACAGACAGAATTATTGGCTGAGTTACTTATTGATTTTCTAATCATTTTCAGACACAGCCCCCCATCCTGTGTCACTGCCAAGGCAGATCACAAATTGAACTGCAGCTGAATTGATGTGGGATTGATTAAAACTCTCAGTAATTATTGGTTCTCTGCTGCCCAAGCCAGACAAATCAATGTCAGCAATAATAGATATGGTCCTTTATAAAAGCCCAGAACACACAGAGCAAGTGCTGTTTTTGTAAGGAGCACAGGGAGGCCACGTTGGTGCACACAGTGTTTTTCTGGGTAGTTTTGACTCTCTCAGCCTGTGGGCAAGAGCAGAGAGGCACCCAAATGGGCTCCGGAGTTCTCTGTTCTCGCAGCTGAGTATCCTGACTGCAAATCCTTTGCTTGGTGGACAGGCAGAGCTGCAGGAAGTTTCCTTGTGCCAGCTGCTCTCCATCCACTGTTTTCTCCTGGAGCTGCTGATATCCTGCAGGGGAAAACTCCCAGCCCTGGGGCTGGTTCTCACCCCCTGCATTGTGCCTGCTTGGTTTGCTTGCTGCCCCCATTTCCTTGTCCCCAAAGAGGAGCGCAGCTTTCTGTCCCCAGGGAGCCACGTTAGCAGTTGCTGGATGGCCAGGATGGGGACGGATGCAGGGATGCTTTCGTTTGCACATTTCATGCTGAGCTATTAGCATGCCATAATTAATGCATATTAGGATGCAGAGTTACAAACAGTAGCCAAGCATGATTGCTAGTGATTAAAAGCCAAACAGGGATATCCCAAGGGGTCTCCTTGAGCAGAGCAGGGTGAGGTGGGGAGGGCCCTGTGTGACCCACTAACCCAGTCCCAGGGAAAGAGCCATCACTTTGCCCTGTGGGCTGGGCAGGGTGCAGAGCTCAGCCTGCTGACTTCAGCTCCTGGCAGCTCCCACCAGCATCCCTGAAGGCACCCCAGGAAGTGCCGGGTCACACACCTGGCTTGGGAACAGGAACACTGCCATGGTACCACGTGTCCTGGTGGAGATGCATCCCTGCCAGTTTGCACAGCTCTCGTTGTACCCTGGGGCCGCAAATGCAGGGGAGACTGCAGTAGATAAGTATGATGTACACGGAGCCACAACCACACTTATCTCGATCTTGCTTCCCAGGCAGCTCAGCTGCAAAAAGCACAGATTGTTCTGAGTATCCTCTCCTCCTTCATATTTATTCCGTATATGCAGCCAGACAGCTTCCTGCTCCCAGCTCTTCGGGAGCGATGCGGGTGTTCAGAGGGGACAGGAGCTGCCTCCTTCTCCCCAAAGCACTTCCCCCACACCCTGTGCCAGCAGATTGCTACCATTGGCCCCTTCCCATGACGGCAAACACGGGGTGCAGGGGCTCCTGAACTTTTATTAATATGTACAGCCTTTTGCTCACATGGAAAATTGATTTTCTTTTTTAAGCACGAAGCATAGTGGTTTTATAACCTTTCTTCTGCTTGACAGAGGCCATTTATAACCTGCCTTCATCACTACCTGTACAAGCTCCAGTCTAACTCATCTTCAAGAAATTCCATAATGCATTTTTAATTGCGAGCTGTTCCTTGGCAAGATTTATGTATTTTCTCAAGGACTGGCCTTTTTGTTGTTGTTTGTGCGCCCGCACGTTTGGTGAGAAGGGATAAATAACGGGAGCGGAACAGAAGAGTGCTTTAATCTGGGTGACAATTTATTGATAGCATTTGCTGCCTGCTGGCTTTTATCTTCTGGGACAAGGAAAGCCAGCTGGGGAGCTGAAATTAAAACCCAGAGCCAGGTACCTGCTTGTGTGAACCAGCACTCTTCCTGCCCTCCTGAGTCACTGGGGCTGCTGTCCTGTCCTCCCCTCTCCTCCATCGCAGAGCAGTTATGGCCACATCACACAAACACAGGAACCTGGGGGTAACATCACTGTGTCCCCTCTCCCCACAGTGCCCTGAGGACCTCCGGCCCATGAAGGATGGCACCGGCTGCTATGATTACTCCAAAGGCATCGACTGCTCAGATGGCTTCAACGGCGGCTGCGAGCAGCTCTGCCTGCAGCAGACCCTCCCCCTGCCCCACGACCCCTCCTCCAGCACCATCTTCATGTTCTGCGGGTGAGTCCCCCCCCCACCACGCTCCCATTTCTCACGCGGGTGCTCTCAGGAGATGGATGCCCAGCAGGAGGGCTCCTTGCAGAGCTCACTTCCAGCGGGCACCTGCTCTGCCTGCGGGGAAAAGCAAACACAGGCGATGGCAGCGGGGCGAGCAGATGCACCCCGCTCTGCTGACGGTACAGTTGGATCTGTGACTCACTGCAAACGTACTCAGAAATCGTACATTGTGTGTTGCGGGGGGGTGGGGGGGGGGAAGGTGGAGGATTCGTTTTCTTTCTTTCTTTTTTTTTTTTCCCCCCTGCTCTTGTGACTGTCTTAAAATAGAGCTTCATCCCTGATTTTGGCCGCGATCCTATAATCCTACGCAATGTAGCGTTTGCTCTCAGGAAAATCTCCCCTGCTGCAGGATGCTCTGAAGGCAGCGTGGTGCTTAGCAGCCTTCCCTCTGCACGGCCCCGGCAGCCGCCATCCATCAGCCACAACATCTCACCCCACTCGGGGCTGTGCATCCATTGCTGTGCCAACACCTGGCAGCGGCCTCCTCCCTGGCTTCATGGGAGGGACTGGGGTGAAGGAGGGGGAAAAGGGTCTCATGGAAAGGAGTTTCCCATGGGAGAGTGGGACAGAAGCACAGAGAGGAATGGGAAGGTGATGGTGACCTGTGGGTGCAGCACAGCTCCCCGAGGAGGAGCTGGCCATGTCAGAAAGCTGCTGTTTGGCTGGGATTTTTTTCCCCTTTTATTTTTCTCTCTTTTATTGTTATTGTTTAGCATCACGCAGCAGCTGAGTCATCAACAGAAAGCCTCCATCATGCCTGAGAGGGGGCTGGAAAGCCATATGGGCACCACCTCTGCAGGGTCAGGGAGCCTGAGAGCAGGACAGGGCCTCTGTCTGAGCCCACAGTGAGCACTGGGGCAGAGCTGGCACTTCAGACATCTGTCCCCAAGGACAGAGACCTTTTCCCTTGGTTTTGCACAATCCCTGCTTAAGGCAAGGTGTCTGTAGTTGAATCACATCTCTGCTGCCCCTCAGTTTCCCTCGCTGTGCCTGGGAGGTGAGTGCCTGCCTTACCCACACAGTGCTTGATAGCAGGAGCAAGGAACAAGGGAGCAGCCATGCTAGAGCTGCGTCCTTACAGGAGGGCACTGATGGTGAGGAAAAAGGGGAAGCAGCTCCAGATTTGGCTTTGCTCTTGGCAAAGCATCGGTGCACTGGGGGGCGCTGGGGGCTGTGGGAAGGAGTGGTGTGCTCAGTTCTGCTCGGCAGCATGGAGTGATTCCCAGGGGCTGAGGTTGAGATCCAGGTCAGGGTCAGGGATCCAGGGTTGGGCTCTGGATGAGGTCAGGGTCCTTCTGATACAGCTCGTGGTCTTGCAGGTGTGTGGAAGAGTACAAGCTGGCCCCTGATGGCAAGTCCTGCCTCATGCTGTCCGACATCTGCGAGGGCCCCAAGTGCCTGAAGTCGGATGCCAAGTTCAACGACACACTCTTTGGGGAGATGCTGCACGGCTACAACAACAGGAGTCAACACGTCAACCAGGGCCAGGTGTTCCAGATGACTTTCAGGTACGGCCCCACTCTGCTTCTCATCCAGGGGAACCTCATCAAGGTGGGCAGATGGGACCAAGGTCTGGTGGTGCAGAGGCAGCAGCTCTGACACATTGGCCAGCAGATATTTGGGGAAGAGAGCGCGAGGGCAGCAGGCTTGCATGGTTTTCCTGTTTGTTCATCCTTCCTGCATAGGGTTTCCCTGTGCTGGTGTATGTCCCTTTGGCCAAATGCTTGGATGGACTTTTCTCTGCCTTGTTGTCCCGTTGATATATTCCATCTCCACCACATCTTGCAGTGAGTTCTGCCATGTAATCACACATGCTGTGAAAAAGAATTGTCTTTTGCGTGTTTTCAGCCTTATGGGAGTAAATTCTGGGAGAAGCTGTGGCAGCTTATGGCAACAAGAAACAACACTGACAAGGTGAAGTGAGATGAGTGTCATGTATCACAGGGTGTCCTCAGGCAGCATCTTTCACTGTCCCTGGGATGGAGATGTGGCACTGAAGGACACGGTCAGTGCCATGGTGGGGTGGGTTGGGGTTGGACTTGGGGATCTCAGAGGTTTTTTTGAACCTTTATGACTCTGTGATCCTGGATGTCGGGATTGCAGAGAAAGGCTGCTGTGTGTTTTTTTCCAATTCTACTGAAAGTAGCCACGTTTGGAGTGGGTGCAAACCTAAGTGGACCTATGAATTTCATAGCACTTGTGCTGAGCACTGTCAGGCACTCAGCTGGGTGTGCTCAGCCCATATTCTGCCCAGACCCCACTCTTGTGCAGCATCTGCAGCACACCGAGGTTTTTGTCCTTATTCAGGCACTGAGACCTCGTTGCTGCCTGTGATTTCAGCTGAGTTGTGGGTGCTTACTGCTTCTGGCCTTGCTGCTTTGCTGGGTACTTCTTTCCCTGCTGAGTGTGAAAGTCTTCCTAGCTACGAATTCACACTGAACTCTGCCCTTTTGCTCCAGGGATGGCAGATGAATTACAGGCTCCACCAGCAGCGAGGCGTGCAGAAAGCGGCAGCCAGCAGAGTGCTGGGAGCCAACAGAGCTGCAGCCTTTGCTGGAAGTGAGAATTGACAGCACGCGAAGGCAATTTTCCCTGCAGGCTCCTCTCTGCTTTCTCTCCCTCTCTCGTGCTGCAGGTCTATGGGTCCTTCAGAGCAAAGATCTGCGGAGCTGAAATGTTTCATGAGCTCAAAGGTTGAGCGGGTGTGAGGGGTCCGTAAGCTTCCCAAATCAGGGAGCTGCCCAGCTTAGATGGGGTACCCCAACCCCAGCCCTGCGGCTCTAGCATACAGGTTTCCTGGTCAGAAAGGGCTCTTGGAGACTCATCCCTGTTTCTCAGGCCACAAGTCTTGCTTCCAAAGGGCTCCCAGCACTCTGGGGGCAATGAGAAGGGCTCACCTCCCTGCACGTCTGCATCCCTCCACAGCCTGACGTGCCGGAGGGCTCTGCGGTAGGAGCACCATTACATCATCTCCTAACAAGGGAAGAGAAGGAGGTTAATGGAGAAGAAATTATTAACTAAAAGATGTAATTTGCCTCTGATTTTCATAGATATTCAAGAACCTCTCTGAGCATTAAGACACCAGCTGTTAGAGAAGCCCTTAATTTGGTGCATTTGAAACATAGCAGGAAGCTGCCTAATACCAGGGATTAAAAGCCTGTTTCTGCAAAGTAGGAGCAAGAACCTGCTATCAGAACAAGGGGCTGAGTATTTTAGAGGGATTTATAACCGCCAGGATCCTTTAGCTATGCAGATGTGACAGTCCTCTGAATGGTGTCTGCTTCCCATGTTGCTCCATCTTCAGTGTCTTTAATAAATAGGATATTCTGGATCCGCCCGGCGTGTCAGCGTGGTGCTGGGAGGGAACCTTTGTGCTGGAGGCAGCAGTGCCTCTCGCAGAGCGTCCTGAGCAGTGCCTCTCGAGTTACAGCAGCACTTCCATCCCATCAGGGCTGGGTGGCCCCTTGGCCAGCCAACAGCCTGCAGAGATCATAGAAGCACAGAATGGCTTGGGTTGGGTGGGACTGTACAGATCACTGTGTTTCAGATCCCAAGCTGGGGGAGCGCCGCTGGCTCTTATTTTGTCTGTGGTGGTTGAATTGCTCAGCAGACTTGTTGGAGAAGCAAGAGTAGAGGTTTCTGCTTGGAGGAGTTCTCCACAACGCTGCTGCTGTTGCTGTTTTATTGCAGGCATTTCTATTTTCTGGGCACCCTTTTCTATTTTTAGCATTTTCTTCTCTTTGGCCAAGTGCTGTGCGGTGTTCATAACTACACGGGATCAGAGCTGATCTATTCCAGTCACACCTCTGGGTTTAGCCGGGAGCTCAGCACTGGCTCCAACTCACTAAAGATGAGATTAGAGCGATTTTCCCCCCTTTGCCTCCCAACGGGGCAGAGCCTGAACTCCACACGGTGCCCAAATCATCGGGGGAACGATTTTCCAAATGGATTGTTTGTTACTTCCTTATCTGCTTTGTGCCATCTCTTTGCCACAGGGGAATAGACATTTTTGTTTAAGAGATGTTTGCAGTTTCAGACTGTTGCTTTTATGCCATTAATATGTAGAAAACCCAAATTACTACCCGCAGAGCAAGCTTTGCTTGCCAGCTTACTGCTGCATGGCAAATGGGATGCTGGAGCCCACACACCTCGCCCTGCTCCCTGCCTTTCTGGCTCTTGCCCCAGAGCATCACCCTGCAAAGCAAGGAGCAGCTCCTGTCCATCTGTCGTGCCATGGGGGTCCCCCACTGAGCCCCCCTAAGCTTTGATGCATTGAAGTTCCTAGATGATGGGGCAGAAAAATGACTGAAACGGCTCCAGGGAGGAGGAGGGTACACATTTCGTGGCTGCAGTGGGGAAAGGATTGGTGGTGATGCTCCCTTGCTGCAAAACAAAATCCTGAACACTGAGTGCTTTCACATTTTCATAGCCAGGGAGGGTGGCTGTGGGGGATGCAGAGCTACTGGGCCAAGCTGTGCCATGCCACGCAGCTTCCTGCAGCTCCATTCCCTCTGCAAACCCAATCTTGTAGCCTACAGGAACCCTGCATGGAAAACAGAGCTGTACTTCCTCACTGCTCTGGAGAAGGGACAGAGAACCGCAATGTGCCCCAAGGTGGCAGGGACACGAGGGACTGGCTGGGGGCTGCGGAGGGATGGGTGCCCATGTGTGTGTGCTGCCAGTCTGCTGCTGCTGCAGAGCCTCACTGCTGCTGCCAGGCAGCACGCCGGGTCACTGAACCGATGCAGAGAATTGTCGTAATATTGGTGGGAGTTTGGCAAGTTAATTTTAAATCCGTCGCTCCTTCCCTTCTCCACTTCTCAGCCTTTAATAAACCAGCAGGGCGTGCTGGCAGCCGCATCAGGAGCTGCGTTTGGAGACACCCCCCACCCAGGGCTCGCCCAGTGCCCACCCATGGGTGCTGTGGGACCAGGTAGGCACACACAGCACCGTGGCCATGCAGGGACTGTGCTGGCACGGCCCTTTGGGAGCATCTAACAGCCCCAGCGAGGCCATCCTGCTGCCCTGCAGCACCACAGACATTAAGTGTATAACTAGTTAAATTAACGCTATTGATTTCTTTTTCTCCTCTTCGAAACCTCGGAGTGCAGCAGTTATAATTGTGCTGTTTATTATTCCCGTGCTGGCAAGCTGTGTGCCAGGCAGTGCCTGAGCGCCGTGTTTACCCATTACCCTTCAGGCCGGGATAACGGATAGATCTCTTTTCCAGTGGCTGCCTCCCATTTCATTCCTCTTTTTATTATTTGTTGCTGCAATTCCATTACCTGTTCACACTCTGAAGCCTGAGACATGCTGGTTGGAAGCAACGATGCCTCTCCAAGGCAGGTTAATGCCTCAGGTCTCGCTCCTATGGAGCTGAACCACGCCGTGCCAACCGGGGAGGGCAGCAGGGCTGTAGGGCTTCGGCAGCTTTGCGGGGCTGAGGTGGGATGCAGTGCTCTGCTCTGTGCCCCATTGCCTGCTCCCAGGGTGCAGTGATCAGGATTGGGACAGGGAGCGGTGAGGTCACTGTCCCTGGGGGTATTGCAGAACCATGGAGATGTGGCATGTGGGCATGGAGGGCTGGGGTGGGGTTGGATTTGGGGATCTGAGAGGTCCTTTCCATCCTTACTGGCTCTGTGATTCTGTGCCTGGCACCCACTTCAGAAGCATCCCCGCCTGTCACTGTGCGCTGCCACATGTGGTGGCATTGCTACCCCTGTCGGGCTCTTTTTATTTTCCACCCCTCACCCTACTGGCCAAATCCCAGCTGCTTTCTTGTGCCCATCAATCCCTTTTCAGAGCTTGCAATGGTTGCACATAGACACATCTTACGTATTTTGAGTGCGTCTGCACTCAAAAGGATAAGCACTGAGATTTAGTCAAGTTCAAGATATAAATGACTAATGCAATTAGCACAGCACCCCATCAGTTAGCTTACTATTGCATCCTGCGTGCATCAGCCCCACTCCATTTCAAAGTTTGCATCCCACAGAGCAGAAGAACAGATTGTGCTGCTCGGAGCTGGTGTTTCCAGCAGTCTGCAGCCACATGCTTTCACACGGGGTTGTTAGCATTTTTTTTATTATTGTAGCAAAACAAAAGCGAGCCTCGTGCAAATGATACCCTATGGACAACGCAGGGGGCTGGGCAGGAGGGAGTAAATTGTTTTTAAACAATACTGATTGAGATGTCAGCAATAGGTGTGGCTTGTGTACTGCTGGCTTTCAGACTCATTCTGCACCTGGTGGGAATGGGGCTTGAGTAGTGGGGTGGATCAACTTTGGGGAGCGTGGGCACGGCTGACGCAGCTCCTGCTGTCGCATTGCCTCTCTGGGCATGTCCCTGAGCTGCTCTGCTGTGTTCCACTCTGTACCAATAGCAGCTTAACCCAGCACAATGTCTGTTTGCTGTTTGGCCATTGCTGGTGGAGCCCGTGCTGCAGCTCATGCCTGGCTGCCATCAGAGCTGCTGGTCCCAAGGGGTGCCATGGAGCTGCTGCCATCCC